CTGGAGCTCTAGCTTCTCAAAAACTAGTCAGTTCTTCATTTCCTTGTGATATCTGGAAAGAGGAAAACAAGCAAACAAACAAAAAGAAAACAATTATGTAAATTACAAGGAGTCAGGGAGCCCCAAGGGAGAGGGGGGAAAAAAAAAATCCTAATGATATTAAATCCTCAATTTTTTGTTACTGATTACAGTACTGTTGTAAGGAATTGAAGCCTTCAGTCTCTTACAGTAAACAATCCTCATCGGATAGTTTCATTTGTGCAACTGTCAAAAAAAACAAACAAACAAAAAAAAAAAAACAAAGATGCTCACAAGAAACATCCTGTCTGGGAGCTGTAGGCTCTGTACCACTTATCTAAAGACATTGAATATGTGTGAGTCAGTGGTTTTACACTTATCTTTAGGAAGTTTTCTTCCTTCTTCTCATTCTCTGTTTAATATTTCCTTACTCTTCCTTTCCTCGAGTTTTCTATTCCTATGTGTGAAATATAGTTTCTGTAGAGATAAAAGTTCATTGCTTGATGTGTCAGTAAAATATATATTACAGTAATGAAAGTAAATGGGATTTAAAAGGCATCAGCATCATGCTCTCAAAGTTGAAGTGATTGTCTTGTTCAACACAAGTGCAGCAACACTGACATAAGTGCCAGAGCAACTAGCTGTTCTTCAATATACAATTACATTTCAGACTTACATCCTCCCCCACAGGTTTGTGAAGTTAACAACTTATAAACCAAAACCTGTGTAAAAATCTGTGGCTTCATCACCGAACTGATTTCTCAGTGGAAATAGAAAAATCACAGTTTCTTTTCTTTGCATTAGCTGTTTTTAGATATCTCTGTGAATTTTAAAGTTTCAATATTGATCTATACAGGATAAAATTGTTCAGTGTGCTTCTCCAACTTCAATGGAAAAGAGAGAAAAGGAAATGTGGAGAGAGAGGTGAAGATGAAGAGCCAAGAGATGTTTTAACTCCGTAATAGCTTGATTCATACTGCACACTGTGTTGCTTTCTGAAAAGCAGAATTCTACCTTGCTAAGATGAGGAAGATTTGCAGCTTACCATTTCTTAAGCGAGCTCTGTACAATATCAGGAAAAAAATATTTTTATTACAGCATTTTTTGAAATTGGTTGAGACCTGGTCATGTGGATTAAGACTCCTCTGAACATGTGTGAAGGACTGGCATGAAGTTATAGCTAAATCTCAAAAGCACATAAGTAATTAGAGAAACTATGGATTTTTCACATTTGGGTATATCCAGGACCAGAACACCAAGCTTCTGTGTTGACTTTGGCAGAAGTATTTTGATGTATTAGGTGAGGCTGCATGAAGCCTGCCAGAATGCAATGTTACTATCTTGCTTGGGTTGTTTGTTAAACATTTAACTAGTATTTGGATCTCTCCATGCTAAATTCAAGAAAAGAAATCCCAGGAAGAATAAGTCATATATTCTGTAGACTCACTCCCCTCAGCATATCAAACAAAATATCTATAGACTTGAATGGAGAACCCAGCTGCACCTCCTTTGATTATATTGGCAGATCAAACAGTCTCAAGATTTTTCCACACATACATTGAGAATATAGAACCATCTGGAATTTGAAAGAAATTCATTGCAACGTTAAAACCATCTCTGTATATGGACACACCCAGGAGAACAGGGAAGTACTAGCAGGTTCCACATTCCTATACATGGAAAGTCTCAAATTCCTGATCCCCAACTATTCAGATTAATCCAGAAGTTTAATAATGCTATCTGCCCTTGGTGACCTGTGTTATAAAAGTATTTAGCTTTTTATTTATTAGTAACATACAATACTGTAGTCTGAGATCAGCTGACTTCATACACTACTGGCTCTAAATTCAGCTTGCAAGCTGCAGATCCACTACTGATATACACTGTTGGCAATTTCATCTATACATTCTTATTAAGAGGAACTGTGCAAAAAATTTTGTCTCCAAGTCCAACCAAAAAGATTGACAACTTTTTCAACATATAGTGGTTAATAAAGAGATGTATGAAAATATTCTGAAAGGAAAATATAGCTGCGTTTTCCATTTTTGACTATAAGACTTAGGAACAGTTAAATAATTAAACTAAGCTAGTAGTTTTGGTCAAATGAGCCTACATACTCTTTCTATGTTTCTCTTGTCATTTATCTCATTTCTCTCCTAATTGTGATTGTGGGGTGCCATTAAAGTATTTGCTTTTAGTGTGAATTTCATTTTTGCTCCTGTTTTGTTCTGGTAACTAGTAGAAAGGATCCTGCAGCGTCTTTAACTTTCTAATAGGCTAAAATGCTTTTCTATGCAGAAAACCAGCAGGAGTTTACATATCTTGCACTATTTGGGCAAATGGCAGATTTTCTCTCAAGTTTTCAGGAGTCATTGGACTTAAAGTAGCCTCTGCCTGTTTCTTTATCTGTGCTAGTCCTCTCCCATCCTGTACAACTGATCAGCAAACACAGAGAAACCCTGAGGTCATATGCACTATCCTCATGTTGTTCTGGATACAGGTCTGTCCCATCTTACCTGAAGGTCCCCAGTCTCCCCAGAGGATCTGCTCTGCTACATTTACCATTAGGAAGTTTTCTATAATGTTTGTAGATGAAATTTATGCTGAATAAGACTAAATTATAAACTATAAACTAGATTCAAGTTACCTTATTTGTTTAAGGCATGCTAAGGAGATGCTCACTTTAAGCAGCTGTATATTGTACAGTAGCTACTTTGGAGTAGTAGTTGAACTACAAGGCATAAGTTTTTTGTTTTTTTTTTCATACAGCTATATTCATCTGCATTTTTATAGACATTCATAAAATGCTTGATTGCTTTTCAAAGATAAATACTTCCAAATAGGGATTGGTGAAAAGCTATTACTCTTTGAAATTGTTTACTTCTGCCCACATGTTGTTATTCATTTTCATTGCTTCAATAGAAATTGGCACAAAATTTATTTTCTCATCTCTCTGTGATGCCATTATAAATTTTTAAAACAGATTGTGTATTTGTTTTCCATTTAGAAATTATTTAACTATGCCACTCCTCCAGACTACAACCATAGAGCAGTGACACAGACACGCAGTTACACTCTTAATTCTCCCATTTAACATAGTGAAAATGACACTGCTGACAGAGAAGCTACAGCCTACTAGATAAATCCATTCATATTTTTCCAGTCCTGTAGGACAATAATCAATCAGCTGGAATCTAAGCCTTTTAAATATGTATTGTCTCTATTATAGTCCTAAAACTAATCACCATTTCAGCAGATAATTAAAAAGATATTTTTAGATAAATTTATATGTTCCCTGACGTTATAGCTCAAGCTGGTAATAAGAAAAAACACAGGACTGACAGAAGTATAAATGTGATTGTTCTTATTTGTTGTTATATCTCTGATATTTTAATAAAGCTGATTCTTATTTTCATCTCCATGAGGTGGTCTTGGAGAAGGCCTACACTTCAGTCCTCCAGTATATATTAAAGTTGTACACTATTTTCTAGAGGAGGAGGTTAGAAGGTCATCGTTCATTTATTAACTTGTTTTAAGTTTCAGAGTTCAAAATTCTTCCCAGACAGCTACTTAATGTTTAGGAAATATATAAAATATTTAAAGATTCATCTCTTTGCAGTGCTAGAGAGTAAATTCAATTTTTATCTTTTTTTTTTTTTTTTTTTTACAAAGACATTTTAATAGTTTCTATTGTATGTCATAAAGTAAAATTTTTAGATTTGATCTTATTTAAGCTCTTCATTATTTCAAATCTTTCACCATATGTTCTTGATAAGAAGTTGCACTCACATAGAAACTGTGCAGTAAGTACAAAAGTCTTCTCATTTGTCTTCATGAAAGTGCTTATGCCACATATACGTCACTCCTACCCATTCTTTTTGAACATCTTTACCAAATAGCAATAGACTTAAGCATATGCTTATCATTAAGTATCAGCACTGTGGAGGAGTAGTTCTATATCTGTAAATAAGTCAGGGGAGCAGAAGGGAAGGAACTTGATTTTAATGCTTCATAAAATGGTTTTAAGAACTCTTAAGTATCATCTTGAAAAAAAAAAAAAGAAAATTGAAAAAAAAAAAAAAGGAAGTAGCTATATAGCTGAAAGCAGAGATCAGGATAGAAACATAGAAATGAAGACACAGTCTTTCATAGTGAGTGAGAATGATTAGTCACTGCAGCAGTTAACCACTGAATTTGCAGATGCTCTTCTCAAAGCCTTCAAGTCAAAACTGGATATTTCCATGGAAGTTATCCTTAATCAAATCCAGGCATTCAGATCAGTAGGCAGGAGAGAGGGATGAAACCAAGATTTAATAAAACCCAGGGGTAATGGTGCGGGATAAAATTTAATGGGAGCTGCAAGAAAGTTAGCTGATCTCATGGTCTTAAGTGAATTGCAAAGGTGTATGTTAGGACGGAAACCACATCGCTACCTTTTACACTTTGTGGATTTTGGCAGCTAATGTTCACGTATGCTGGACTGCATGGTGATTATTAGACATTCAGTATCACTTCAGCAAAGAGAAATAATATTTATTATAAAATATTTTTGCAGTATGTTATTTTTTCTGGCTACAAAGATAGAGCAAAGTCATATTCATGTATCTTGTGCTAATGGCATAAACAGGGCTTTAAGAGCATCAGGGGGAGGTGTCTGTTGAAAACTTTGCTGTATTACATGGCCATTGCCATTAACAATATATATATGTTTTGTCAAGGTGGGCAGCTTTGACTCAACTCACCACACATAAGTGATTCTCCTCCTCTGAGCTGTCTGAAGAAAAATTGCAGAATGGAAAAACAGTTACAATAGAGTTAAGTTTGAAACTACAATATTAGAGGTTGATCTGTTGCAATGTCCAGGATGTGCAATGACAGAAAGGGAAATAAGTGAGTAAAACCACAAGAACCTCCCCCCTAGAAACAAGATTAAAAACATGTTTTTTGGAGAACTTTAATTTTCAGCTAGGTGTTTGCAGCTGTGGTATTTGCTGTATCATCTGAGATTTTAAAATCAGTCAATTAGCAATCCAAAAAAAGAGATGAGGATTGGCATATTGTTTATGATATCTTACCTTGTTAACATTACAGGTAAGTAGATTTTTTGCTGTTGTTTTCTTGTTAACTTTCTAAAAAGAAAAAAAGAAAAAAAGAAAACAAAATACAACCTACCAAAAGCTTTTCTCGAATTTTTCAAAACCAAAGAAAGGTAATACTAAGATTTAATCAGGGATGAAAGTGCCAAAAATAAAATTTGTATCACACTACCACATATTTTAAAAAGAAAAAATAGTGGGTTATCTTTTACGTGTTATGAATCTATGCTGAAATTTTTTCTGTTTAGGTCCATAAGTCAACAGGATATTAGTGTAAGTAGATGTTGAAATATTTTTAAAACTGTTTGTTTTCTTACGCTAACAAATATAAAAGGAAAAGAAAACATAATATTTGGGACTTTTTTAGAAATTTTTGTATGATACAATGAAAATGCAAGAGATATTTCATATATTAATGATTAAGCCAATAATGGTTTTCACTGGGTTTTGGAATATTGTTATGAATGTGATGCTGGAATTTTTTTCAAGATATTTGCTTTATACTTAAATGAAGAAAGTAGCTCAGAAGGGTTCCTGTACTCATATGGGTTAATTACATTTTAAAATGGGTTTCATGTCAGATCTCAGAAATCCAAATCCCTTTAAAGTACAACACATTTCTTTTTGCACATACATTTCTTACATGTCTTCTAATGATAAAAATTCTAGTAAATATATAATATATAAAACAGAGGTATTCAACTATTTTAAAACATTATTTTTTCTGATTTAAAAGCATTTGTTGTCTGTGTTTTGTAATGACTTTCAATTTTTTATACTTTATATAAAAATTCATATAAATCTTTCCATAGGACAAATTGCTTCATTTCAAAGCAGTTCCATAAATTTAACATAATTTATAATGGAAATCTGATTTCAGCTTCTCAGAATGAAAATGATTCACTTCACAGAATTTTAATGTATTTCTCTGAACATGAGAAATATTTTTACATTAGGTGAGAAAATAAATTATTTTATCTGTTTAAATCTTTATTACGGCATTAAAATCAAGTTTTTTCTTTAACTTATTATTTCTGTTAACTGACTACAAAGGGAGAATAGGGTTAAGTGTTGGAGTTTTCAATGTGATTATTTAAAGTTTAAATAACTGACTTTGAAGCAGACTTGTCTCATTATCTATTAGTTAAAATTTTGAATAATTTAGGATGAGACTCAAATGGAGAAAAGGTTTAGTCATGTAAGTTGCTAGAAATTGTGAGGTGTCACTACTAGCTGATCTGATATGGGTATCAAGTGGGTATCTGATATGGGTATTCTGTTATTCACAAAAATTTCCCAGTGTTCATCCTTATGGATCCAGAGGATGATCAGAGGGCTGGAGCACCTTTCTCTTTTAGAAAGGCTGAGGGAGGTGGGCTTGTTTAGCCTGGAGAAGAGAAGGCTCCAGGGAAACCTCATTGTGGCCTTACAAGGCATAAAGAGAGTTTACAACAAAGATGAAGATTTTTTACCAGGGCCTCTCGTGACAGGTCAAGGGGAAAAAAATTTACTCTGAAAGAAGGTAGTCCTAATTGAAGAAACATTTTGTGATAAGAGTGATGAACAATCACTGAATGCTTAGAAAAACTGTGCATGTTCCATCCCTGGAAGCATGCAAGGTCAGGCTGGATGGGGTCCTGGCAGCCTGATCTGAGGATGGCAGCCCTGCTTACAGCACATGTTTGGAGTTAGATATCTTCCAACCCTCTGGCAGAAGGAATATTTAAATGTATTATCAGCTTAACCTTCAGAATTCTTTCCATTTAATACCTGAATTGTGTTGTCTTGTTCATTGCAACCTAACTTTAACTAATAGGTGCTTTTTTGTTGTTGTTGGATTTTTTATTTTTTATTTTTATTTTTTATTTATTTATTTATTTGTACTTTACCTGCTCAAGGCGCAGTAATAGATGTGTTCAGGCATACTTCCAGTCCTTTATCTCATTGTTGTCTGCACAACAGATATATACAAGAAATCATTCTCAAAAGATCCATTATTCTATGGATAGAATCTTCCATAAAGAAGATCTTCCAGAATCTTCATCATCCTTCTGCACTAGTTCTATATGGTTATTTTATTTGCACACAGTACTCATATAAAGTTTTATAAAGAATTTTAAAAAATAAAATTAAAAACCAGCAAAGGACCTACATATGATGTCAAGAATTAATGAAGCTGAAAAATTATGGAAATTCAAGACTTGTATTGACATGGCATAGAAACAAACATTTTGGCATTGTACAGAAAATATCAGAAGTGATGCATGTGGGTAAACTTGAATATTCTTCTATTTATCTTAATACAAGAATACAATATATTATTACAAAACCTTTTACTGCTGTATTCATGTCACTTTTGATTTGTACTTCATTTAGTTATAATTTCATTTCCTTGTTTGTAATTACTCCTGCACAAAACAAGTTGCAATCAAGTATTTAAATAATTATGTATTGGACTAAGAATATTACTAGAACATTAACCTTCCTTAATAAATGTTATAATTAATTAATTATTTATTATAGCTAGCAGTGGGCCAGAGCTCTTGGTTTTGCAATTCCCTGAAGATGCCAGTGTACTCCTTAACTCCACTGTGTGGATGCTCTGTGTCTTTGAATACCCCAAGGAGGAGAATGAGGAGCCAGTTGTGTACTGGAGGAAGGGCCCCAGCTGTGACAACCAGCAGAGTCTTCGGTCAAGTTCAGGAGCAGGAAGGCCACACATACACATTACCAAGGACATATTCAGGGGATTCTCTATCTTAAAACTGAGCAATGTTGACAAGAATGACAGCAACTTGTATTTCTGTGATGTGATACTAACCCAGAAAACCCATGGCAAATGTGGAAACGGAACCAAGCTGACAGTGCACGGTAAGAGGTATCTGATAGTCAAAGAAATTGTATTAATGGATGCAAGGTGAGTTAAATATTCCATCAGTTTTACTGATTTCTACCACTCAGTGCTGTGAGAAGAAGGATGGGGAAAAAGGCAGTCTACAGTCATGATCTGAGAATCTGACTGTGAGCAATTAAACATTGATTCAGTAATTAATACATATTATATACATGAAACATTTTGTATATTATAGTATTTTGGTTAATCTTCAGTATTAATATATACATTATATATTTAGAATATGAAATATTTTTTCTCAGTATTATCCACAAACATTTACTGAAACTATACTTCGCTCCATACAAAAATAAAAAATTATATAAACAATTTCTGTAATCCTGAAGGGGACAGTGACCTCAGTGACTGAGGTAAATAATTTTAGAGAAGCCAAGTTTTTTGCTTGTAGACTTGCAGGCATATCTGATTAGTGCATGCTAAAGGCTACAAAGCATCTCTATGTTACTAGATTTCACTTTATATATAATAATTTCCCAATGCAGTGCTTGAGTCCCTAAAGAAAAACAGCTGTCAGTGAAATCCTTCTGACTTTCACACCATAAGCATATGTTTTATTTATTTATTAAAAAAACCCAAAACATATTTTTCATCATAACTTAAGTATGTGCAATATAATAAAGATGTTTTTGGATCTATCACCTGTTAAATTTGTTTACTATTCATTTTATAATTAGCTCAGAGCAGTTTAAAGAAATCATCACTGAAGTAGAAAGAAGACAATATTTCCTTCATGAGAAAAGTAACCTTTTAGTCCAGAAAAAAAGAGAGAAATAAAATGTGATAAAGACAACTGTGCTGACTAGTCAGTCTACACTAATCCTTCAGATTAAATCATTAAAATAAACCCCTATTTCTTAATTTTTCAAATACTTAATTTTCTTCATTTCAGATTTCACATGCAAAGACTGTGTAAGATCAGAACCGACCTGGTGGTGTTGGTTCCTTCTTCTTGGATACGCTCTCTTTGTCACCACAGTTATCATATCTTTTGGTGTAAGTAATAACTTCAGAAATAAATACTACAGACCTAAAGATGGGTGGCATCTTTTAATGGAAAGATACTATAAGTAAATGAAAGAAAGATGTTCATGCAGCTATGGCAAAGTAAAAAGTCTGTCTCTTTTCTGTTAACCAAAGATTTAGAGGTAGAATCTCCTGTATTTGGATATTTGAGGGTATGACCATAAAAGAAAGCTCTGGCAGTGGAGATACTTAGAAAAGCAAAAGCTACCATTTTCAAAGCTTGCTGACCACTGAGAAGCTATTCTTGATGTTGCTGAATGTTACCAAGTTTTTATTTTCACCTGGAAGTGAAAGATAATTAGAAAAAAAAAAAAAAAAAAAAAAATTCTTAAATGATTTGCAGTTCAAAACACATCCCGCTTCCTCTATACTTTTGGGCTTCAGCTCCTAATTTCATGAGCTCCACCAGGCATACATTAATATCTGCTTATGTTTTATTTTACACGTGTTTCAGCCAACCAACCAGTCACGCCAGGGCTTTATGCCTTCCCCCACCCACCAGTTGGGTTGGGTCCCTAACCTGACATTTCCTTAGCCAGCATTGGCAACTAGAAAATATTTTCCAAGAAAAGAAAATATTTTTTTATACAAAATTGTCTAAGCCCAGAGTGATTTCTTATACTTCCCATGGTATTTCAGAAATCTTTTTTCTTTCCTAGTTGTGGATCTCTTCCCTATCTCATAATCATTTTAATCAACCTCTTCTTATGTATCCAAAAACTAAAAAGATAACTTTCAAATAATAGTTCTATTTTGGTCATATTTAGGAATATACTTTATGTGAAGAAAACCATTTGGAAGGAAATAAAGCTGACCTATGCCATAACGATGAAAATTGGAATCTCAGTCTCTGAGGGCATGGGCAGTACTAAAATGTGCTCTAGTTGTAATTACAAGGTCCTTAATTGCAAACGTATAAGATGATAACTTATGAGACCTAAGAAGTACCTTGTTCATCACCAATAACCTCTCCCATCAAAAAACAATATTTTAGAGTTTCTTAGGAGTTAACAGATGCAGGCTAAATTGGACCTAGAGGCAATAGGTAACTAACTTAACAGGTTCTCAGCTTGTACAGTTAAAAGGGCTGTTTAAGTGTTACTGAAATTAGAGTTATTGCAACAGCTCCCTCTCTGCTGATTTCATTATTAAAAGATTCAGCACCATTGACAAGTTACAAGACCTACAGACATTTATGGTATCTGATTGCCCTTCTGGGTCAAGTAAAGTATGGGTTTTGTTTTCCTCAGAAACCAGTTGTTAAGTGCTGTTACTTCAAAGCCACATCAAAATCAGAAATGTTCACACAATTCAGGCAGTAAACAAACAAAATTTGCTAAGATACAATAGCAGTAAAATCTGTCAAAATACACTTTTTGCATCTGAATAAGCAAAAACAGCCAAGTGAATCTTTCCTAAAATGAGTCACTGTGAGTACAATTAGCAGTAGCAAAATATACCAGATCTGGCAGGGATGACTTTCACTGAGAAAAGTCAATGAAGAATTGAGCTCATACAGTGCTATGTTTTGGATTTGTGGTTAAAAAGTATTGATAGCATGCCAATATACTGTACAGCATTTGCATGGCATCAAGTTATTTTCCATTTCTCAGTCTGCTTCCTCAAATTGGTGGCTGGGGATGATCAAGTTGCTGGGAGTGAATGCAACCAGGATGCTTGGCCATAGCTGACCAAAGGGGATATTCCACCACATATCATTGTGTTCATCAAGAGAATCAGGGATAGAGGAAGAACAAAGGGTTTTTGATGGCTAAAAAGATGACCACTGTTCTCTGACTGGCTTTGCGTCGGTCAGCTGGAGGGAGGTGGTGAGTGATTCCCCTTGCTTCATTTAGGACTTTTTGGTTGTTTATTTTCTTCCTCATTCCTTCACCTATCAAACTGCCCTTGCATCGACCCAGGAGATTTCTCATTTTTGTTCTTCTTGTCCTCTCCCATCCTGCTGGGGAGGGGGAGGTGAGTGAGCAGTTTCATGAGTGTTTGGCTGCTGGCCAGGGTTAAGGTAGCACAGCAGCTAAAGAGAAAGACACTGACATTTTTGAAGTCAGGGAGTCTATAACTTCTTACAGGTCATTTCTTCACTAAATGACAAATGTGCCATATCATGAAAATGTGTATAGTGTCAAAATCAGAGTGTGAAATAATGGAAGAGGTACTAGATCATTCAAAAGCCCCTTGGCTTTTCGACACTTCTAGGCCACTACTTAAATTTGGTATGTCAGGGTTGGCTGAGCCCTTCAGGTACCTTCTGGAAGGAGCTGCTATCTCAGGAAGAAGTCACACTTGTCTTTTCTTAGCTTAAATTTCTCTTATATTTCTTCTTACTCTTGTCAAACTTTTTTTCTGTGCTTCAAAATCAAGACTAGGGCATAGCAATGTGCTATTCCCATGAAACGTGCATGACAATTGTGCATATTTTATGGGGAAGCCATTAGAGCTGTCAGTTCTGGATTCTCCCCAAAAGAAGATATCTATCCCATCAACTCTCCAGAATGATCACTTACTTAAGCTACATAAGAATACAGGACAAATTTTAAAAAAAACCAACCACCTCTTTCTCCCTAAACAAGTTGTTTGTTTAAATAAAGTAAAAGCATTTATCCACCTTAAAATATAGTACCATGCATTGAAGAAATATTAAATGAAAACACTGATATACAGTCAGACCCACATTCTATTTCTTGAATACAGTGAGAATTACCCCTATTCCACTACTTGTAAAAATAAGTTCTTCATTGTTTTATTGTGATTGTGATATGCAACCTTATGAACAATTTAGAATAAATACTCATCACTATCTTAGTGAAGCAAGGAATATATTCTCTGAAAAATTAGGTAGCTAGTGGAAAAAAAAAAATAGCTTAACAATATATTTTTTGGAATATTGCAACAGATTCATCACTGCTGTAAAAAGTGCAAGAACAATTCAAGAAATACAGATAGCAGCACTACCCTGCCAAGTGAATGGATTTATGAGAAGCCATCCAAACCCGTTAACAATGGGTCTAACCAAGAATATGAAGATATGTCACTAATAAGAACTTTCAGTCACATTGAAAGGAAAGTGATATGAAAAACAAGCCTCACAGTTGTAACCATAATGCCATGAGCATGTGAATGTAGTGTACTACTTCAGGATACAGAAGAAACTTACACACAAGTCATTTTGTGAACTTGGAATCTTCTTTGTTCAAGATTTTTTCATCTATTCATGAATTTACTTCAAAACTAATGAAATTAATGCTCTATGCAGCTACAAATGCAATGATATTTAGTGTGCACAGCTACCACCAAAATACTGTTAAAGCTAAAGGTATTAATACTTCAATGCTAAGAAAGCTGATCATGTATGCTGATATTTTTTTTTTCCGTTTCAAACTCAAGGACACATTTGGAATTTTGTTTTATCTGGGTTAAGACAGCTTCTTTGCTTCATCAAAGCAACGGCAAATTCAGTACTACAGTACCTGTCTGCTGCTGATATAAATTTTTAAAAAAGATTTTGTCATAGAGGCGTTTCTCACGTGCTCCTGATGTACTGCCTGACCTTACTTCCAGCTCCTTATCCTGCCCTCATATTTATATATCCCTGCAACTTCTTTTACTTTTGGCTGTGTAGTCAGCTATGTTACTGATATAGTGCACATTTGTACATGCCTCTCTCAAAAGAATGAAAATACTGAATATGTTTTTAATAGTTATAATTTCTGAAGAAAACATAATAATTACTGATGAAGAGCTTGTCTTTGTTGTTCTTCTTCTGGCATATCTAACATTATAATGTAAGCTATTTGGATTAAAAATATCTTTAAAAGTTGTTTAAAGTACTTAGGATGCTTTTAGAGTCCATGTAAACAGCAACAATAGAATTAAACTTCATAGAAAGAGCTTACCATAATTTGCATAATAATTAAGTGCTCAGAGGAAGCTGTGCCTTGGAATAGTTATGTACATGTGACTTGAGAGAAGTTAATACTTTGACAAACTCTATTTGAGTTATTGAATTTTTCTATTTTTCCACAAACAATTAAATATTACAAGCTGAGTACTGTGTATCAAGATTTATTTTTTTTTTAAACACTGAAAATATAATTATGAAAGGAAAATGTTCATAGGCTAAAATGCCAGAGATTACAGCCTTATACACTATCTATGACTATAAAACAAAGAGTAAGCTCTTTTTTACTCAAGGGGGCAATAAGTTAATATTCAAGACTGCACATTATGATGTGGATGCACATTGCTAGTGAAGTTCAACTAAAGCTTTATCAGTACTGCATTTTTCTAAAATACGTGCCTGTTCTGCAAGTAAAAATGCTAATTAAAACAGTTTTAAAAACCGATATTTGACTCCTTTTCTTGAAAGTACTTCTGATGCACTTAGAGACAGTTAAGTATGACTTCCAGAAGGACAGACAAACAATTGGCTTGTGCATTTGGAAAGGTGGATGGCAGTCATGAAATCATGAAAAAAATGACATTTTCTTAAATTTGAATAGTAGGAACTAAACAATGGTCTCCTTCACTCCTCTACTCAAGGTTCTGAGTGCATCTTCAGTCATAGATATTCAGGTTTCCAGATTCAGAAATTCAAACTCTAATTTGGGATGAAAATATGTAAAATTTCCATTTTCATCTCTGAGAAACTAGATGCTCAGATGCGCTTCAGATTTCCTATTTTAAAAATGTTTAAAAATATTTTTATATATTGCTGATTATAAAACATGACCAACCTCTTCTTTTTAAAGTATTTTTTATTTTAATTACCTTAAGTATTAAATACAAGGATTGTTTATACGTCTTAACATGTAGCTTTAGAGAAGATCCTTTATGAGGTGTGAAATCCATCTTAAAGGAAGATGCAGTCATATGAAGGCAGAAGTCAGTGAACCAAAGTTACCTTCAAGAAGCACAAAGATGTTAATGCATTCAATGGAAGTTTCCATATCTTGCATTTTGACAAAAATGACAATAATTCATTCTTAATCTAGCAGACATAACTATAGGGCAAATGCCTTTCAAGACATCTCATTCAGATAACACGTATTCTAGAATGGGGCTGTTTTCTTTCCACTTTACAGCGCTGCTTCCATTTCAGATCAATGGTCTTTCAAAATTGTCAACGCAGTTTTTACACTTTTTCACATGCTTCTGAGGAACACCAGAGCTATTTTCTATGTATTGTTTCCTAATAATCTGCAGTTAACATTCAAGTTAGAAAGGTTAAATATTCAAAATTTTGAGTGTCTGAAAACAAATAATAGGACATATGTGCTATTACCTAATACCAACACACAGCACAAGGATAGTAAAAAACCAAAATCATTATTTTCTATGTAGCAGTCAGCAAATTTTGTGTCAGCAGGGCTGAATCCAGAGTTATTAGAACACAAGACATTTTTAGTAGCAGATATATGAAATTACATTTTCTAATTTATACTTTTTTAACACACATATAGTAGTGTAAGTAATGTTAACATTCTGATTGTACAGTAATTTACAGAATCAGAGAACTATTGCTTACAGGAGACCTCAACAGCTCATTTGGTCGAACCTCTGCTCAAGCAGAGCCTCCTAAGAGCAGGCTGTCCAAGTCCATACCTAAGCGACTTTTGAAGATCTCCACAATCTCCCTGGGGAACTCTAGCGCCTCTGTCAGTGCTCCAGTATCCACATAGCAGAGACGTGCTTCCTGATGGTCAGAAAGAATCTGCTGTGTTCCAGCTTGTGCCCATTGCCATGTCATGACACTGAGCAACACTTGAGCAGAGCTTGGATTCATCTTTTTTTCATTCCTTCCCATCACTTATTTATACTCATCTAAGATCCTCATAAGCATTCTTCTTGCTGAGCCACACAGATCCATAAATCTCTGTCTCACCACATAAGAAAGATGTCCCAGTCCTTTAATGATCTTTGTGTGTCTGCAGTGGAGTCTCTGTAGTCTGTATCTTGACAGCAACCACTTATTAGCACATGAAGGTAGAAAATAGATACGTGTTTTGGCAAGTTTGATTTCCTTCAACTGTTTAAGACACTAAAAATGTATTTTCTTAAAAACTTAGCCTACTTATGTAGTAAATCTAACAGAAGGTGAAAGTCTAGCAAGCACAAATTATGCTTTCAGCCATACAAGGACTTCAGTTAAAACACCTCTAACAGAAAATGAACAGAATCTGTTTAAGATCTTTGGATTTACATTTCTTTAAAGCATTTTTTAAAGGGGAGAAAAAGAACTTAGGTCTTTGTGAAAAACTGTTAATATGGTGTAATAAGCGTTAAGGTAGCACCTTCTTAGCGTAACAGATTTATGATGCTCTAATAGAAAATTCCAGCTATTAGTCTGCAAAATTAGCCAGGAAATGCCAAACAGCAGAACTTGCAACATGCTAATATTCACTTTGAAAACATAACTGCTGCTAACAGAAAACAAAGCTTATGAGGCTTTTCAAGGTGGTACAGCTTGAGTATGGAGGAAGGAGGAAATAAAATGGGCGACATCACAAAATCTGAATGCACAGTAGATGGATTCCTCTATGAAACAAAGAGATTACAACTATTCTCCTGATTTAAAACAGCAAATGCTTCTGTAAGAGGCTCACTGATCAATAAACATTTTATTTCAAAGATTCAAACATTGTTGGCTGAGAATGAAACATTTCTGAACGTGCTTTACTATGCTACACTATCATTAAATTAACAGCCTTAAGACAATAAGCTTGCATCACTTTTCTTTTTTGCTATCTTTTATAAAATGGCACTAACTGAAAAATCTCTGACTCTTGCTTTTCTCACTGAACTTTTACATCCCAAGATAAAATTAATTAAATAAATAAATATTCATACTATAATAATAAACACTTCTAGATCTTTCCTTTGCATTGCTATAATTTTATTCCTCCTGAAGAGCATTATGTTATCATAAACATCTGAAGGTCAGTTTCTAAAGAACTGAACACTGCCTGGGGCACTTAGAGCTCAGTGTAAAGGATATGGCTTATATTCCTCTATTAATATATACAGAAAGAAGCCAGGTTTTAATAAACTAAAGAGCATATCAAACTGTGACACACAATGCTCAAAAGCAACATACGTTATCAAGAAACGAGTTTTTCATTTAATAATATTAACAGGCAGCTCTTATAGAACTGCATCCAGGTAAACAAGCTTTGTACAGATTTGCTAAATGTACATGGCTCCATGACTGCTCAGGAAGATATAGCGCTGGTTCTGCTTTTCTGAAAGTTCATGAGTAGCTCCAAGCCCTCAGAATGCTACACAGAAAAGAAGATTCTGCCATAGTACCAAAACAAGTATTCAAATTGAATTATAAACTTAGGCTAGAGCAGATCAGTTTGCAATCATCTTTTAATAGCATTATTCACGATTTCTATTTATGTTAAAAGTTCTCTTCTGTGTAAGTAAGAATGAAGGCATGCAGGGCATGAGTATCTTTGTAGCATCAAAGCATTTCAGCTCTACCTGTAGAAGTGTTGTCCTACATATCTGAAGTTCTACGTACCTGGAAATCATATTCTATTTTCACTGCATACAGAACTCATGCATCTAAAAATATTGATGCAAAGCATTCTTATTTTTCTAGCAAAAACAGCAATAGAATTCAATCCTATCACATGAATCCTATCCTGATATCATCTACATATGAATACATTGCTTACATTAAGAGGCCTTCAAACAGCAACAAAATATGTATAATTTAACTGTAATTCTCACCTCCCTAGATTTTCAATTAGTTTGGAGAAGTGCTATACATAATTCAATCTCAATTTTTTGTAAACATTAAGAATTCATCTTAAAAAGTACACTTAAGAAACAAATGCTTTGCTTTTAAGTAGTTGTTGATTTTAGAATTTAGGCAGTAAGACTAAAATTTCTGAACTTGCATTTAAGGAAATCACTGCAAGGTGAATGGTAAAAGAACTTATATCCAGGCACTTTATCAGGTTGCAATAAAACATTTATTTTATGAATAAAGCATTCTGAGAAACTTACAAATAAATTCTTCACAAAAGTTTCAAGAAAATAAGTTCATTCCATTTTAGCAGCAGAAGAAAACACAGTAAAAATAACTACCCCTCTGTAAAAGATATTTTTAGTGGACAAAACATCACAATTCTGTTACAACTTTCAAATAGTATTTCTAATTGAGAAAGTGCACTTACTGAGAAGCACAGAAACTTTCATGTTCAAAAAAAATAAACGTATCAGAGGTAAAAGTGCAAATGTTTTATTTCTTGTGGCTAGAGCTAAGAGTTCAGATCCTTTAAAATGCTTTAAGAAGTAAATTAGATTAGCAATATTGCAAACACTCGATGAGCATGCGCAACTGCTATATTACGTGAGGAGTACAGACTACAACACTGATTAGTCTCTCAAATAACACTGAAAAAGTCTTCCGAATTTCTATAATTATGGTAACAGAAGCTTTTACAATTGCCAATTTAAGGTCCAGTTATGGATCAAAACTTGAATCTTCTCAAACAAGCCAAATACTAGCCAAGTTCAGTTCTCAATCAGACAAGTTTATACAGGTCTTCTGAATGGAGCTGATACTTTCCTGGCAGAAGATGATGCAATTCCAAATGGGACTTTTTATTTCAATATACAGAAATTGTGATAACAATATCTTAGATTTGAATTAGAATGTCTATACCAGTGTTTTGAAAGCCATCAAGCTTTATTTTTTATGTTTTGCCTATTCAAACCAGTTTTCTTTTCGTAAAAAATGTACAGCATCATCAAATCCATTTTGGTACAGTGATTCCATTTTCTCCTGGTTTGGTGGGAACATAGCTTGATTAAGTCTTACTAGGTTGGCCAAAGACAACTGCAAAAGAGAGAGGTGCTAGAAATTAATTTATTAAAGCAACTTATAACAATAATGTCAAGTCAGAGATATGTTCTGACCGTGTTTAGGTTAGCATATTTTAAAACTGTTTACGCTCGTAAATCACATATTCAGACACACTGCTGAAAATCAAAGCAAACTTACACAAATAGTCTGCGTATGCACCAATAAATTCATAACCTCTAAGACATGGTGACTGTGAAACTGCCCAGAGTTTCTGAAATGTTTTAAGTACAGTAACACACAATGTAACCGCCTCAGACAGTGGCAGCTGACACATACTACACTTCTACAAGGAAATATTTTGACCTAGTGCAAATAATGCTATTTTAGCCATGTACTTTATTTATTTATTTATTTCACATTTTTGTAGATCTAAAAGCCAAGGATATTCAAAAATAATAATCTAAAATGTTGCCTGAGATTTTATATAAGTCTGCATTTGGAATACCATAGAAGCAAGGCAATTCTGCAATTTATTCTCAAAATTATTCCACTCAGCAACTCATTTTCTTCTTCTAGATGCACTAAATATTGGACATAAGCAATAATCAAAAAATACAAAGACAGTTACGCATTTATTTTCAGTAAGATAAATAATCTCATTCTTTATGATCATTTACCAAGTACTACAATGCTGTGAAAGACTACAAAGATTTAGAAATTGGCTCAATTTAGAACATTAAAGAACATTAATTTCACCCAATTTAAGAAAACATATTAAGCACGGTTTAAGTGAGACTTAAAAAGTATAGCAACTGTTGCTAACCAGTTTTGTTGTTTTTTTATTTCTCCTTTCTAATAAAGTTTCTTTGGTAACAATGGTAGATCTACTGCTATTCAGTATTTTCTTCTACCATAACAAAGGATGCAATATATTGTAGTAAAAGCCTGTGAGAAAAAGCCTGAACAGACAGAAATGTTAACAATAAAAAGGTCATTAAAAAAATCAGCCTTGGCCTACATAAACATTTCTATAACATCTAACGAAATTTCTGGAAAAGTGTTGCAGTCACAGGTTTTAAAACTTTAACATGAGCTCAATTGAGCAATGAAGTGACAAGTTATTGGATATAATTTCAAATGTAGAACTTATATATATATATATATATGTATATATATATATATATTAAACTCAGAGCAGCTGACTTAGTAACTACAAACAGATGTGATAGTTTCCCTCCAGTATTTTAGAGGAATAGCTGATATTATAGCAAGTCTACATTATGTAAATTGAATAGCCTACAACATACTTACTCTATTTTGTACTAGATACATGCCTTTCAACATTTCTGGCAAAATTTTTACTAGATTTTTCTTTCTTTTGTGTCTAAGGAAAAGCTTACATTTTGTATGCAAAATAGAAAATGCAAAAAACATTACATAAAAAAAAATTATACACAAAAAATAAACACTTAAGTATAAACTGCTCAACTACCTTTTCTTCTTCTGAAGTTAGTAAATAAACAAGCAACTCACCATTATATCTTGTTTTGCAAATTTAACATACAGATCCACACGTCCTTTATCCTGTGGACAGATATCTAATCGACCACTGAAAGGAGAAATCGTAATCGTTCGTCCAAAAGGCAAGATAGGGAGGCCATTGGTAATGCCACCATCAACCCACTTCTACTGCAAAATACAATTTTCAAAATAGTTTAAGAACAATATAATAATAACTGAATGCTTAATCATTTCTGTCCCTGCCTCTTCTACAACACTCTCGCGGAAATCTAAAAGTTTTCCTCCAGGCATTAAAATCTAAGAACAGACAATGCATATAGCATTCAGTTTATGAGCATCTGACAATGCTGAAACATATCCATAAGCTTCCCAGACACTTAAATATTTTTAATCAAGTGAATAAGTCTTGTTTAGTTGATCTATTAACAAAATGTCCCAGAGAGTTAAAAAAATATACATTTTTTTCTCAATGGACAAAGGAAAAGGTAAGATCATTACTGTTATACCTGAACCACTCCACACAGCATATATATTTATAAGCTTTAATCTGTTACAAAGTAGGAGCTGAGAAATGTCCTGTAAAGGGGAAAACGGCTGCATGAACTAAAACAAATGTGACTTCACCTCTCCTAGAATGTTTTGGTTTGTTTTCAACACTGAAAAAACTGCAACACAAAACAGCAATAGCTGGAAAGTAGATGACTAAGGTGGAAAGGGGCTGGACGCACAGTACTTGAGAGGAAGCAGACATCATGTCTTCTACGGGAGTTGAGCCTACCTGGTATTGTGACCACAATAAAATCGCTAAAATAATGAAAGTTTTCTCACAAAATTTCTGAAAATGCTACAGGAATTTATTCACAAAAGCAGCAGAAAAGCCATCTCCAGTAAAAAAAAAAAATATGCTACTGTCAACTTGTTTATGGTATACAAATTAAACTGTCTTCATACTATTGGAAAGATAGTTGCATTCTGTGTAACAACTGCTATACAGAAAGTGTAAGTTTAGGTTACAGTGTCTGGTCTTTGGAAGCCCTCCAAATCACTGAAGTTCATGATTTAATTGTATAGACTGCTCTTAGCTGTATCCTTCACTCTCACTTAAAGCAAGTCTCCTCTTCATTCCATAGAATTTTTCCCCAATGCCATGTTAGAGTTCATGCAATCAGATGATTTTATTGTCAGTACTGCCTTATTGCATTGTCAACTTCTATATCTTCTGATACCTGATGGACTTAAGACCTTTCCATATGGATATACAGCAAGAATCAGGCTGCTGTTTATTTTGTTCACACCCGCACACTTCTTCACTTCCTTGGATTAAATCTGACATTACAAATTTCTTTTATGCTCCTGAGCTTAACATGTAAGCTACAGATATATGTATATATTCAATATAAATGTGACCCTTCTTATCCTATTACTTCATAATCAGCTTTAAGAGCTTGACTCTTGACATTAGCTGCTAATATCTGTAGCCATGATGCATCACTGAATTCCTTCACTTTCCACAAAAATTATACTACTGTGGAGATTATTTTGCCTTAAAGGACAAGATAAAAAAAAGCCATCAAAAGCTGCCTTTCAGATTTCTCAAACTCCATTACAGTAGTACTACTGTGAGTAAAGCTGAAATGCACCTTGAAACACCAACGTCTATCAGTTTTAATCTATTCTTGAACTTTTTTTTTTTCCCCCATAGGTAGCTGATTTAGATACAACAATCCCTGAATTTTGAAGTGTTTTTTTGTTTTAATTCTGATTTCTACAACAATGAGAACTGTGAAATCCCTATCTGAGCCATATCTATGATATCATAATACAAGACTTTATTAACACCATTCAGAAGTCTAGCTTAGTCTTTTTACACCCTTTAAGATCTTCTACGTTTAAAAATTCTGATTATTTATTTTTTCCTCCCTCTCCCCTTCATACAACTTAAAGAGTTCTTTGAAAATTTGAAAACATTACTGAGGCAAAGGCAATACCTTTTGTTAAGCACTATCTTGAGTAGATTACGTATTTCCTGGATGATGCTCTCTGTAGCATTTCCCTTTCTTTCAAGTACTTGGGAGAAACTCTATTAAAGTATCTAGAGGTAGAAATCTCTATCAAAATATTTTTATTTCTCTACCAAAAATATTTTTGCTCCAAAGTCTTTCGTGTTACAGTTGAAAACAGAATATTTCCATGCTGAAAACAAAGAGATGCAATGCTCCAGCTTCCTGTAGTTCTATTAACCAATTCTTCAAAAATGCATTCTAGCTGATGAAGCAAATTCCAGGTAGATTTAATTCCAAATAAGTTCCTTTATTATGTAAGTACAGTCCAAAGACAGAGAAAGTTCTAAAATAATGTGCAATGAAAACCAAGACAAACATAGAAGTTAAAGATGGAGGCTGGACCTAATGGAATCTACTCATTTACCAGTAGGTAACTTTTACAAAGGCATCCTGTAAGAACTACAGTGACTCAAACTACAGCTTCATCATCACGTACAGTTACTCAATCATCAGGGGACATCTATTCATTTCAATGATCAACCTTCCCAGGCATTCAGAGGACACCAACTCAACTCAAAATAAAGTAATTTTACATGGAGCAGGTTTTGCCCATCTGGACGTACACAATAAAGGTGTCCCACTGCTTTCAGTAAAAGTTTGTTTTGACAAAAGCCAGTATGTCCAAGTTTGCATAGCGCAAGGCCACTCTACTGTTGCTGGAAGTGTAGTTCCAGACAATCTTAAATACTCGATCCAGGCAAAAACCTAGCGTCTAATTAAGATCACTAGCAGACCAAGTTCTCAGATGTTATCTTTGTATTACACATCCTTTTCCTTCAGTGCAGCTTTGGGCTTATCAAACTGGGAGAAAACATGCTAGGAACAGACTATGCTAACGTGCAACTTAGCACATTTATCCCCACCTCAGATGACTTGGTGATGTGCATGCAGGTGACACAGGTAGCCCATTCCATATTCTTAGCTCTATTATGCAATATCTGGACCCCCAGTTACCTACTCACACTCTTTCATTCACTACACCAATCCATGGAAATGCAATACAGCTTCTAAGATTTTGCTCAGTACTCAAAGTATTTTGGACTAGTACTCACTTCCACTTACTAGAAGTAGTCATTTCAAATAAATAAATAGATAGATAAATACATAAATAAATCCACAAGTAGACTTTGTGAGAAAAGTCAGGCATCCAGAATTAATCCATTCCAACAAATAAAAGTAAAAGCAATTTCTTTCTCCTTCTCAAATACCTTTGATACATCTGACGTGAGTGTAGAAGAGGCTTTGATAAGGACAAGCAGCTTTTAAATAACAGAACTAGCTGTCCTGATACATTCATTGATTTAACTTCTGAATGCAAAAAACTAAATTAGGCAGGAATGGGAATAGTTCACTAAGAAGAGGCTGCAGGTATTTCAGTAAATATCACAAAACTTTGGCAAATGCTTATAGCAGCGCTCATCCAGTAAAATGTTTTTTTCAGTCAATTTAGACAGATCTCTGATCCAGCTTTTCAATTTGTTAATTGAAAGAATAATGTAAGAAGTTTAACAAAGACACTCCCTTCCCTTTGAGTACTGGCAGAATGAACCACAAACATCCACGTATGCCCCTCAATCTGCACAAGAAACATACAAGGACTTCAATCCACAAAGTCTCCAGATCCTGGCAAGCAGTCTCTCATTTAATTCAAGCAGTCAAGTACAGTGATTCAAACTCTTTAGTCATTTTAGATGGTATCTATTGATGTACAAATAGTTCAAAATCTGAGAAGTTTTTTGTCATCAGAAAGGAACTCAAAGTCCCTAAACAGAAACATAACTATTAGATATGAATGTTAGAATGAATAGTTTAGTGTTGTTTTTGTGTTGTTTTTTTTTTGTGTGATGGTTATGATGATGAAAGATACACTAAATGCAGAATTTGGACATGTACGATGAACGAAAAGGAAGTAGTAACACTTTTTAGAAGGAAAAGATATTTTTTTGTTCTAATAATTACAAACCAAAACAAAATTATTCTTAAAATGTTATAATATTTATATAAGACAAAAAAGTTATTGGAACTAAACTGCAATTCTCACCTGACATCCCCTGAGATCAGGCAATTATATCATAAATGAAGGAAGTTATTGGGAAAAAAAAAAGTTAAACAGTGAAACTTTACCTCTCCTTTATACTCGACTGGCTTCATTCCAGCATATACTGGTATAAAACTACTTGCTAGCAGGACCTAGATAAAAGAAAGAAGGACTGGAGAAGAAGAGTGAAGAAAAGGCAACAAAATAATTCTAAACCAATACATATTTTCATGCACATATTCAGAATATTAAACATTATAAACAGTCTGGAAATTCATTTATGCACATCTTTCATTAGTTCAATACATTATAAATTCAGGTATTAACAAATTGCTACTTGTTCTTCTGCAAGCTACACTGCTGTCTAGAGCAGTTCTCAAATTTATTTTAGACTAGGACACCTCTTCTGACATGTACAGGAATGTGATATGCATATTCATATACCTTTCTATCTATTCCTAACAGTATCTATGAATCTGTGCATGTGCATCTATGTATATGCTTGTGTACCTAATGAACTACCTGGATATGGGATCTGCATATAGCTAGATATTTCAGATATGTCAGATGTGTCAAATATTTCAGTACAGGCAAATCTGGCCCATATGCATGAGGGTGAATGAGAAACACAAGCAGCTTACAGGCGTGCAAAATGGCAAAATGCCATCAGGTCCAAACAAGCAAATAATTAGTGGAGATTATGGAAAAAATGTCCAAGTTTATTTTGCTTTTTTTTTTTTTTTTTGTCTCTCTAGAATTTTATTTATTTTTACAACAAATTAAGCTACTTTCAATGTTAAACATTTTTTCTCCCCATACAAATTTGAACTAAGGCTTTACTTCACACTTTTTCTTGCCTATTTCTATACCCAGTGATCTAAAGAACCAGATATTTGTCTGAGCTTAAACAGTAAGGTTTTGTCTTCGACTTGAAAACTGAAACACTTCCTTAGAAACAGGTCTTTTTCCTGACAAAACAGTAAGATAATGTCTCCCTCTAACCCAACACTCAAAACATCTAGAAAAATGTTAAAAAAGGAATTCTTCCTTAAAACTTCCTGCTTATTATATTTCCTCCTTTTTTTTTCTACTATATCTTGCACTACAATACAAACAATTATTAGAAGGAACATTTCCTTTACGTGCACATTTGACCTACCATTTCACAAGCCAGTTTATGTTTACAATTCTGATCTAGATTTTTTAAAATGGTATTCAAAAGAGAAGAGAAGGGCCATAGAAGATATGCTGTAATGGTTAAAATATAGTTTATGCATGATACTTAATATGGCATTATGTCTATTCCCCACATAGTACTGGGATTTATTTTCAAGACAGGAATTCCTTTTGTTCACTCCCTCTTGTGATTGATCTTAAGTGAATATCAGTGAATCAAGAGACGGAAAAAGATTCACAGAATGTTATAAAACTTGAAGATTATTTATTTTATTCTCCCCTACTAAGCATTAACCATTAAATGGTAATTAACAGCTATCCTGTTATTTTTTAAAAGGCGATGCCTACAATGCAATACTTCTGAAACAAATGAAAGAGACAGATTAAATTTTAACAAAATCTCCAAAACTTCAGTATCAAATTCTGCTTATTGTTTATCTACATAATGGCACTGTAATATCAGTGACTATTCCACCAAAATATTTATTATACACCTAATAACAACACTCCTTCCCACTGAAGAGAGTCATATATTTTTATTTAAAGCAGAACTATGCAAAATCATTACCTTAATGAGATCCTCCCTGGAGGCAAAATTTGAAAACAAGTAATTCTTCCCATTTCTCACATTAGTAACGGACACATAGAGCCGATTCTCAGCTATCTCATGAGCATTAGAAGGAAGAATAGATTCTATGCCTTCCCTAGAATAAAGAAAGCACTAAGTATTATTCATCATGTAAAAATCTTGCAAATACACTGAGGGATAAAGCTCTCCACAGTATGAAAAAAGCGTGTGTTTTACTCTCCATTTTTATTTAGAGAGCGTCATACAGAAATGATTTAATAGATGCTTTAAGATAGGTACCTAAGTCTTTTCATAAAATCGTAACCAGGAGTTACTGCACCAAAGTCCAATTTTCTGACTTCTTCTGCAAATTCATAGGTAAACCGCTGACATTTCTGAAAATTAAAATATTCACCATTAAAGATGCTTTCATCATAATTTTCATTATAGAAAGTAAGTTCAACTGTGGTATGCAGAACATACTAACAGCTAAAATTTTAATCAAGAACAACCTACAAGGCCAAATTAAGATATTTTCCATGTGTGAGCGGTTTGCATCAAGATATGTTTAACAAACTGCTGATCCAGTCACACAAACTAATTTGTAAGAAAACATATATAACAAGATCCCTAATTCGTTAATAAAAATATATTTAAAAAGCCAAAGCTCCCAACAATACCATTTTGTCAGCCAAGAAAAGTTCAAGGCTACTTTTCTAGGTATCACTATTGCTCAATAATCAGTTCTTTGGATCATACCATTCCAGAAATGAAGATTTGTATTCCAAGCACCTTTTAAAAGTTGGCAAAGATTAAAAATGTAAAAGGAGTTAAAGACCACTTCTGTATTAAAACCAGACATAAGTATCTTAAGATAGCTGTAAGCATTAAAAACATCATAGTTTCTCCTTGATAAAAAACAAAAATTATTGACATACATTTAATGAATGAAATACTATGTTTACTACAACTGATGGAAGACAAATGAGCAAAAGACAACTGCAGAAAATGGGGCTATAGATTCTACAACCAGAAAAGCTCTCTTATTTAAGCTGAAATGCTTAGTTTTAGTTACCATGAAAAAAATAGCTTGAAGTGTGCACCATAACTCCAAAGGCAAGTAAAAGAATATGAAGTGTTTATTTTTTAGCAAAAAGATTCTCAAAACTTTAAATACGATTCTAAATGCATAAGACTTGCTATTTAGTATCACTTTTACTTTACCATTACTGTTCCATGCAGACTATATGACTTCAGAGACTTGGGAAAAATATAAAATTCAATCTTTCCCAACATTTTGTAACAGGACTCAAAAAACATACTGTACTTTCATGTATCTATATAAACAATTTTTTAAACAGAGTGTAAGAGCTGCCTATAAATAGTTTGGGATTCTCGGCTTACTAGCTTATTGCATGAAGAAATATATTGATAGTAACAGAATAAATGATTGACATGACTGGGGAAAATAAAGAACAGTGAGAGTACATGGAAGAAGAAACAGGAAAAAACCTGGGTAGAAGATCAGGAGCAAGCTGGTTGGAGCAGCTTAGTTCCCTCAAATCACTTGTACTCTCCTATGTACAGGTGCAATAGACCTCCTATCTAAGCAAAACGCAGAAATTAAGGTCTTGCACCCACTTTCTAAATGATCTACTAGTAAATCTATCAAAAATACTAGTGAAAATTCAAAGTTCCATATCTCTTAAAGCAATGGCTACTAATTCATTACATTTTCACTTCTATCCTAGGCAGTATTTCATTCACTACTGCCAGTCCAATTCAAATATATAAAACCAGTTACATGCCCCAGGTCTTCAGTTTATTCCAAGGCTTCTGTAGTCAATCCACAGGAAAGAAGCATATTCAGACAGTGATTCAAATCTTCAGCACCTCAGCCTCTCTCTAAAGGGACAGAAGAAATCCCAAAACTGCTACAGACTATAGAAGTATTTCATAATTAGGATCATTAGATCTGCCTTAATAAAGTAACTGAAGTGAAAGGGAAATAACAGTAAAAGGGAGTTGGACAACAGCAGATCTAAGTGAACAGCACAAAACTACTTTCCATATTATAAATGCTAAGAACAGATCATATTTCTAGACTCTCAATCCTTGCTGTCAAAAGGCACTCTCCTTGAAGCTATGAATTATTTATAATTTTTAGTGTCAGAAGCTTTAAACAATGCATCTAAATTTCAAATAGTGACTGAGAACATGTTTAGAAATGGTAACTACTTCTATTGATTTAAGTAAACTTGACATCAAACATGATCACACACACAACTCTCAAGTCCCATGCCTTTTCAACAGTGACAAAAATCCAAGATATTACACCAATGCATCTACAAGCTGTTATATTTTAACAATAGTCAAGACAAGAAATCTTCAACGTTACGTTCTCTTCTAGTTCATAAAAGTTTGTATTAGAGCTTTGAGAATAGAAAATTGAGAAAGTCCTAGTCATAGCTTATCTAACACAGCCATTATTCCAAAAAAAGAAAAGAAAACCTATCTGACGTCAGAGTTACATTTATGGATATTTCAACAATTACAAATGCTATCATTAATGTAATAATTATCTCGATATGAAAATTTTGTAGAAATTTCAATAAAAATAAAATATTAAGCATTTTCTACTCACTATACACCACTGTCCTTATTTACATGCTATAAGAATTAGGAAATATTTCTGTCTAACTCCCAGAGAGTTCTCAATTTACAGTTAAACAGTGTAATAGAGTGACTTAAAAGTTATTATGAAAATGGGAAAGGGTAAAAAGTTCATGACACATTCTTCAGTTTATGCTAAAATGATATTGTCAGGGCAAAACCCAACATGATATAATCTTAATTCCCAGAATCAAAAACTCTTCTCATATTTTGACTTAAAAACATATTATAAGTTGAAACAGATTAGAAACAAATATTTTGCCTAGAAAAAAAATTAAAAACACTGTACTTGGGCTTAAAAAAAAAAAAAAAAAAAAAAAAATCGAGCTGCTGTACTTACCATACAAGAAATTAGGGGCAGAGCTAAGTATTACACCAAGCGAAACTGAAACTGAACTATTAATTAGAAACGACAGACTACACCTGAACAAGTAACATATACTGTTATCTTGACAACAGCAAAGAACTTTGCTAATATCAAGTCATATAAAGAAAGCATTTGTGGGAGTGGAGGTAAAAAGAAACTAGAGAAGAACTTACTATTAAGAAACAGAAAAAACAGAAGTACGGCGAACTGCAAGTTATGCTCGTATCATAGCAAAACAAAGAGTTCAGTGGCAATATGTGATCTGAGCTGACACTATTCAAATCAAAAGATGTTGAAGTATTTACAGAGAGAGCTGGAGAAATTTACCTAATGTTCGTTAGACTGAAAAAGAGGACTTATGAAAAAAAAAAAAAGTTATCTAACAGTCTTCTCTCTCATTCTCAAAAATGTTGTTTACGATAACTAAAAATATTAAAGGACTATTAACATTTCAGCAAGGCCTATTCCTCTAAGTATATTAAAGGAAAGCCATTAAAGGCACATCAGAAAAAGTAGCCTTAAGCTAAGGGGAAAAACAAGCAAAACTAAACTGGAAAAAAAAAAATGTTTTCTCAGAAAGCCTCATCAACCTCATAGTGAAGATTTTCTTTCTTTTATCCAGTCTAAATCTATTCCCTTTTAACTTACTACTGCATTCTCTTGCTCTGTCACTACAGGCCTTGGTAAAAAGTTTTCTCTGTCTTCCTTATAAGCCATCCTTAAGTATAGAAAGGCTGTAAAGAGGTCTCTTCAGAACCTTTTTTTTTTTTCCAGACTGAACAACTTCAACTCTCTCAGCCTTTCTTCACAGCAGGGTGTTCTAGCCCTCTGATATTTACTGTGGCCCTCCTCTGGATCTGTTTTTTAACTGGTCTCGATCTCTCTTGGACTGGGGAACCCAGATCTGGATACAGTACGCCAGGTGGGGTCTCATGAGAGCGGGAGCATAAATCATCTCCCTCCTGGCCACACTTCTTCTTATGTGGGCCCGAAACACATCCGGTTTTCAGGGCTGCATGCACACATAACTGGCTCATGACAACTTCTTCATCCACCAGTATTGCAAGGTTCTTCTCTAAAAGATGCACCCCATCAGACTCTTGTCTCTAGTGTAACAACTGCACCACTTCATCTCAGTGTCAAACTTGCTAACTGTGCTCTTAATCCCACTATCTATGACACTGATAAAGATATCAAGTAGAAGTGGTCCCAATATAGACCCTTAAGGGACAGCACTTATTACTGTTTTCCACTTGGACACTGAACTGTGTAACTCTCTGGATGCATCTATTCAGTCATTTCTTTATCCATTTAACAGTCCATCCATCAAACATATCCCTCCAATTTAGTGTCAAGAATATTGTGAGAGACTGTATCAAAGGCCTTACAGCAGGACTAACAACTACGTGACATGCTAGAATAAAAGTTTGTGAGGGTTAATTCTCCCCTGACATACAGTGCAGCTATTGCTATTAAGTCTAACTTGCACTGAGTCTAAAGCATGCCCTATCTAAAGTTGTCCAATCAAGAACAAACAGTAAGCAGCCTGTGAAAATTAGAGCCTGTGTGTTGTGCTCTGGCTATAAGGATAGAGTAATTCACCATTTTCATATCCTTCCATAAAGAACAGTGCTACACATTTGCTTAATAGTCTGCCTATAGACAAAAAAAAAAAAAGATCAACTTTGTAATGTACAATGAATAAGTAAAGCACAGATATATTTTGATAGAAGAGGTTGCATGCAACTCAACATTCAGACACACAAAGTTTGTAATTACACAGCTTAAATACACAGTCCATGTAATTTTATACCAAAAACTGAGCACCATCATTTGCATAAATACTTGGCTTTTTGTACAAGCCTCACAGATTTTGCTAATGAAAACATATACATGAGTCCTATTCCTTTACAAAAAGCAAGGTGAAGATCAAAAATTAAGGATACCTCCATTATTACTTCTAAAAATTAAAATTTTTAAACTTAAATATTTTAAAATAATCTTTGAAAATGATTATGTCCTACACCTACGAGTTTATAAATTTACCTCTATATTTTCTGGTACTGACAATAAGACAGTGGCAGCCAGGGATCCCGCAGAAGCTCCTGCAAAATCTTTCACAACTTTCAGTAACTTCTTACCATGCCTGTAAAGAGCAGCTGCTGCCCCCAAGTGGTAAATACCCAGAAACCCACACGATGCAAATGACAGATTGACATGTTTCATTTTTCCTGTGGAAATAAAGTTTTGCAGTCAGGAAGAGCATCGGTTACTTTTGTCTTACAACATACAACTACGTTTTTGGGAAAGAATACATAATATATATATAATACCTATGTTAAAAAACTGTTTACTTTAGAGTAGTAAGCACTTTTGATTAGCCAATATATCAAACAATTAGCTGCTTGAGTTTAGCATCTCCAAAACTGAGAGCAATCATTCTAAAATGCTCCTTAGCACAAATTCCTTCTTCAATCAGAACATAGAAGTATGTTTCTATATATAACATATCTGCACATTTTCATCCATCTCAAAGAAATACAGAAGTAGTGTCTTAAAAGTGTTAACAGTAATGCTGAAACACTAAAAATTATCATGCTTCCATCAAGCACAGAACCTTGAATCTAATAGCATTCTCTAGGGAAACAATTTTTGTCTTTCATCTCTGGAACTCATTTACTTACTAGTACTAGTATTCAGTAAGAGATAAATTCCCACATAAAGTCATTCCTTATTGAAAGGAAAAAGGCAAACACATCACTGTTACTGTTAAAAAATACAAAAACACTGAGGCAAAATGTAAATATAAAGCAAAAGTTTGCTCATAAAAGCATGAATGCAACCTGAAGGTATCAAGTACAGAAGAAAGAAAAAAAAGAAACACAGAATTCAGATTTATACAGATAGAGATGGTTTATTTAAAATAAACCACATATATACAAAGCTATATATTTTTAGCTCTTCTGAAAATGACTACAAAAATGACAGCAAAATATTCTCCACTATATTGCACAGATATACAGACACTGTCCATGCTGAATTAAAATACAAAATTATTATATTTGGGTACAAATCAGTATGAATGGGACTGAATACATCAGTACACTCAGGAGTATACCTGATTGTTCTGGTCTGTGGTGACATAGCTGTTGAAATTTTTCTTTTAGAAACCACTTAGTGTCAGTACTGATGAAGCTTTACAGACATATAGCAACAGATTTTTAAGTTGCCTCTCCAGCTCAGAAATCAAAGGACTGGGAAAACAGCAGCTTTCTAAACCACAACATAAGAAGACATGCTAAACTACTGCTTTATATATACCATGTTTAAAATCAGACCATTAATGGGTCCCTCTGCCTAAATGGAAGGATTACTATTTCTGTTGCAAAAGAGATCTCATGGCATCAGGGCATATCATTTTCTATTTTAGAAGACAATTCATTCTGCTAAACCACACTATGTTAAGACAGTTTAATCAACTTATTAACCATGCTTTATCCCCCTTTACATACAGAACACTTCCATATCCATTAACAAGCATGAACACCACAGAACAATTACGTACACATACATAGAAACAAATCAAACCACAACAAGAAACCTGTAAGAAAACAGGTTATATTTGTTATCCTACAAATATGACTTAGATGAATAAAAATCATGGCTCTGTAAGAGACTGTTTGACAGACGTAGTTAAGCTATGTTGTTTCACCTTGTAAAGTATTCTATAAGAGGAAAAGATGAGTCATCTAATGCTGTATGTCCTGTAAAATCAGAGAAGGGAAACCAACATACCCACTTTTGTATGAATATAAACTGTCTCATTTGTTTTGATTCTTACAAATTTTTCACGGCAGTACTCAATTTGCAAGTCAGAATGGCACATTTGAAAGACAGTATGATTCAAAAATTCTTTTCCTTTCACGATCTGGTGAATCACTGCTCTTTGATCAAAAAGAACAGCAGGGTTATAACAATTCTCAAGAGACATATGGAGAAATGTAATCAAGTGTACAATATGACTATTCCCTGCCAGTTTCTAACAGAGCACCACAAGTGAGAACACTGTCACATCTGAATATAGACCATTTTTTCACCTGAGTAAATAGCAGAAATCTTGTCATCTTAGAAGTGGTCTGACATGCAAGACTTCAGAATCAGAATATTCTTTGATTGTTTAATGGAGGTTCTTGCTCTTTGCGATATTAACTGTTAACTAAAAAATTATCATATGGCTAAGCTGTTAAGAATAACATTAAGTGCAACTTACAAGATGCACAAATGCATTCCAGCATAGCTCTGGACTGTGTATACACTGTAGAAATGTTACTTACACTGGACAAAGCAAATGTTCTTGCTACTGCTGTCCAAAAACATTTTCATCTTACATGAATATTTCAAAATATTTTAACTGGCTAAAGGAATATGCATAGTTCTACTGCCTACAAGAAAAAAAAAATGTAAGAGCAGATAAATACAAGAAGCTGGGACACTGGGGCTGCTTGAAATCCCAACTTCACAGATTATGCAAAAGCATTCAGGAATAAGTATAACCACACAATTTGTTTTTTAAAGGATTCTCACATCTGCAGAAAGAATTGGTGATGAGAAAAATATTTGGAAGGGAATCATCTCTATACTCAGTTGCACCTCAAACATCTGTATCTCAGGCAAGACGCATAAGGAGCTTGTACTGCAGAATTGTGTTATGTTACAACATAATTTTTCATGATTACTGTTTTCCTAGTTGGTGCAAACATGAAATAATTTTTCATACTTTTGTTTCATGAGCAATTTAATTACATAAACATTTTATGATCTCAGTGCCTTAAACAGTCGTAACTACCTCCTTGTCAGTCTGTTTCTAAACAAAAGCTGCAAATGCCCTAAGCAACTGACTAGAAAGCCTTTTGAAACAAAAATTAAATATACATAGAATGAGAATGACTAAGCACCCTGAAGCACAGAAGTACTTTGAGTTATTATGTATGACGCATATCAGGACACTTGAAAATTTGTTATTAGGAATGAGAAAGCAAGCAAAGGTATGGAAAGAACTACTACAGCTGAATTATAGCAGCACCGCTAAAATAAAGGTCATATTTGTAACTACTAAGGGACATGATAATCTTAAATTTAGCCAAATTAAAAATCACCACTCACATGTTTAACGCTTCTTCATGTATATAAAAGGAAAAAATGTGCTCACTAGCACCACATAACATTAAGAGCCTTTAGTATATACTCAATAAATTTTTTTCTCAGCCAAAAATGGGCTCACAGAAAATGATAGCCAATTCAACAAACTGTACTCTAATTAAGAGTTACAGTGGTTGCCAGGAGAATGGCAAAACTAAGTTTTGCGTATATCCAGTAACAATGAATAAGTACTGTGTAAGTTTGAACAGATGGAAAAAAAAAGAAACATAATTATGTATCAATTTTTAAAATTATTATAATGTAAGTAGATATTAAGATTCTTAGAAAAACTGTCCTGGTGTCTGGAAGCTATAAAAGTTGCATATAATTCCCTTAAAATAAGAAATTAAATAAAACACATGATTTCAGACTGTCAAGTTCATAATTCAGATCACCTTGATCATTAATACAAGATATCTAGATAAGACAGGAAAAGCTGGCTTCTTAAGATAATGAAAAAAGTTTCAATACCTTCTAATGTGTGCTGTTTTCCATCATATTCTCCACTGGGACTATTTCCAGAAGTTCTTTTAGTTCCTTCTGCACTAATAGCAACTGCAGTATCTATTACTGACTGGTTTTCATTCACCTTGGAAACCTAAAATATTACAATCAAATATTACCATTTAAAAGAAACATAAAGAGTACATACAAGGGAAAAAAAAAAAAAAAAAGCTTGTTTATCATAGAATCACAGAATGGCCTGGGTTAAAAGGGACCACAATGATCATCTAGTTTCAGATCTTATATAGACCTAAAAATTCTATTAGAATAGTCACATAACCATCTGAAAGGATTTTCCATAATACATTAGCCCTTATTAAACTATTTGAAAGTTTGACTATTTATAAGCTATATGTAGTAATTTATATTTTAAAGATTAAATTAATTAGACATCTAGAAAAAAGATAAACACTACAATTTGGAATGGTCAAGTCTCTAAGACAAGCCTTAATTTTGTGTCCCTTCCCACTGACTCTGTTTATACCCACATATTTCTTTAATAACCAAATTCATGCATTTTTATCTACTCTTCCCAATCTGGTAAGCACAGCACAGTTTTTTTGCCCTCTGCAAAATACTGAATTAGTAAAGAGTTTTCCAAAGAACTCTACTCCTATTATTCACTAAGTGGCTTTCACCAGCTATTAATTCTGTCAGCTATCATTCTGTACTGCATGGAGTATAACTCGAAACAAGTTAAATTTTCTCGCCTGCTTAGAACTACTGGACACACACACAAGATGTTATACTAAAACACTGGTTCTCCTGAAACTTCTTGCTGCCTGCAGCTTTGCCTTTACTTATGAAAGGCATCTTCACTTCATAGAGATGCCTCTTACTAGCAACAGAAGATACCTGCGATTAAAAAAAAACACTTAGGCAAGTAGGTTAGAAAGTGAAAGGCAAGAAAGTGAAATCAACACCTACTGATGCTTATCACATCTACCTAGAACACTATGGAAGTAAATACTTACCTGGCATTTAGCTCTGTCATATGGTGCTCTCAAGGTAAAACAGTTTAGAATTCCAGTCCAGAACTGCTGGTTTTTCGGAAGAATGGAACTACACAATCTGCCTTCTTTCAACTCAAGTATTTGTATTTGTGCAGTAGAGAGACTTCTGGCAGTCCACATTTTCCTAAAAGTAACCTCAGGATCCAGATGACGGCACTCTCAGAAGCTATTTTACTATAGATTTACTAAGTATCAATAGATGAGCTGCTTGGACACCATAAAATTACACCGTAGAATTTTCTTCAAGGTAACCTGTTTGAAAATCTGAAGAAAATAAATTAAATAAATAAACAAACATGCAATTGAAAGGTGGCTGTACACCCTGATCCTATAATAAGGCTCCCCTTACAACACTCAAACTTAGCTTTCGAGGGATCACAACCTGGAACACAGATGTCTTACAAGTCCATTTGTAAGACAGAAACAGCTGCAGGAAGAACCTTTTCTCAGTAGCTCCTTCTCTATCTCTGCATCCAGCTAGCACTGTGCCATACACCACCATGAAGATAATTGTTCATTTCAAAAACAGGAAGCACTAAAATTACAGAGACAGGGAACAAACGAACATAACCTTCCTTATAATTAATGTGAACATGTTGTGCATTCTGCCTCAGCTGAAAAAAAGTGTAAGGACTGTCCTAGGGACTTCAAACCTGTTGTTCACAAAAAAAAAAAAAAAAAAAACAAACAAAAAAACCAAAAAAAAACAGGCAGTGATGTCAGAGTCCAGTAAGAATTGCTCAAGCACGTTGTTCAGCCTTGTAATTTTCAGGGCTGCATATCTGAAGGGTTACGCACACCCCAACCTCAAAGTCTGGCTCACATCCATTGAGGCTTTAACGTGGACATGGCATGAAAAATAAACCAGCCTATTAGTTTGTCTACCTGGGCAAAATGGAGCCGCGCAGCCCTGAGAGGGCAGGGACTCAATGCTAAACAAGCAGCTTCAGACGTAATCCCACTCCGAGTTTCAGGTTTTCCTTTCACGTCACCCCGCATGCTGTAAGCGTTTGTTTGGTGCTCCCTCCAGGTAGGCTCAGTAAAAACGCGCTATCAACAAGCCAAGCAACGCCGAAACAGTGAGATATAACTTTTAAACGGAATAAAAACAGAAAGCCAAGCGGCAACGCACATGACCGTAACGCTGAGAACAGTCGCTAAGACGTTTAAGCTTGCAGACTTGAGACAGAAGGCCGACGTTTTAACAGGCCGCCTCTTTCCCAAATGTAAACTCCTGTTTTCCCGGCCGCCACACAACAGCACCGCCCTCCCCTCAGACCGGCTCCCGGGAAGCCCCACTTCTCTCTAATCCCCCCCCCGGTGCCCGCAGGCAGCCCGAACCGCACCTCACAACCACCCCTGACCCGCCCCCGCCGCGCGGCCTCCTCCCGCGCCAAAGCTCGCGAGACTTCCGGTCTCCCCTCGCGGGCGTGCGGACGGGTGGTAACCATGGCAACGGCCCCGCGGCACCACCTGTGTGGTGCGGGACGGGGCGGGAGCGAAGCGGCTCTGTGGCGCGGGCCGTTCCGGGAGTACGGACGGCGGCGCTGCTTCGTCCAGAACAGAAACAGAACATGCAGATAATAGGCATACGTTCTTTACACTGACCGTTTTGACCCTCGTGCCTTACCAACAGACTCAGATTTTCAGTGGCGTAATTACCTTTTCTAAAGCAGGAGATAAGAAAATAAAAGTTTACAAGGTGGTTTCCCCATGGGATCCTCACACATATTTTCTTGTGTGGAGGCTACAGACACCGTTGTGACATAACCCGCTGTCGCCCTCGTCAACGTATAATGAAGATAGATCAGCAGAATTTAGACAGGGAGAAAAAGTATCATTTGAGAAGTAAATCACAGGAAAATAGCAGCTTGTGTGATGTATGTATGTAATTATCAGCAGCTACCAGATATTATCAGACCATTAGGTATTAGGACAGACACACGGCCATGAGCCTGAACATTGGAAGACATCAATTTGCGCGCTGCTCTTCTGTGTGAGAAAAAGATATATTCAGTATGACATAAGCTTGCAAAACAGCATTTAGAAAACCTCTCTGGAAGTGTATCTTCTTGTTTGTTAGAGTCCTTGGAACTGCTTGCTGTGAGTTTAATCAGTCACCTTGGATTCCTTTTTCTGTGAGATAGGTAGCGTGCATTCTCAACCTATAAATTTAAATTCTGCTTCTGTGGAAGGAGGAAGATAATTAAAATAATCAGTGGTACTAATTATCCTTCTCATTAGAATGATACAGACATTTCTGAGTGAAAATGTCCAGTTTTCACCAGAAGATGGATATATGGCGTTTTCACATGAATGTTGATCTGTAAAAGAATATTTTAAAAGGAGCAAATTCCATGGCATTGATAGAAGTTACGCTAAAATCCTTGTGCATTAAGCATTATTTTATTTTCCTTTTATTAAGGAATAGATCTTCAATACTTCACAGACTGTGCTGTGATTTATTGTTTTGGGAATTTATTTTAAACTGAAATTTACTGTAGATATTTTTGTATGAACAACAAGAGGAAGCAGCAACAACAGCAATTGACTTGCAGCCCATTTCCACATACACACACACACAAAGAAATCATTGCAAAACAGGACCCAGGAATTGTCTTGTATTTCAGCAACCAAACCATCTAATGGTTTCTCTTCTCTTTTTACCATTCTGCACTGTTTCCTCCTGCTGACAGGGTGAGCCTACAGATGAGGAAACCATATGAGGCCCGGTACTGAAAAAAACATCTTGTTTTAACTGCAGAGAAAGTTCTAATTTGTAGCAGACATTAAGAGACCATGTTTACATCACATAAAGTGATACTTTGGGTGACAGTTTTGACAAGTAAAAATGTCACTAAAAAGCAGGATGACCCTTTTCATTCTCAATTGTCCAGATGTGTACAGATTAATTCTAAATAATTGAACTAAAATTTCTGCTTCATGTCTAATCTATTAATGAACTGGAAAGTTAGTGATGTAGATTAAGTTCACTGAATTGGTGAGAATTAAACCTTTAATCAGTTCCAAGCATAGGAAGAACAAGTAATAATTATTTCCATGAGTTAAGGAGATCTGTCTGTCTCAAATGTAGCAGCAGTTGTGTCTCTTTTGACTTTTTTGGAGAGAGTAAAAATAAGACTTCTTCAGCTCCCTATTTAAATTTCATCCTTTCTATTTCTGTTTTCTGTAACCAGAATAGGTTGGACCCTTACCTTCAGAGTGTCAAGGTCTCATTTAACTCCCCTTTGTTGATGCTTAGATAAATTCATCCTTATTCAACATTTTATAGCATGTTACATATCTTTTGTTATTTGTTCCTTTAACTGTTGCTGCTCTTTGTAATACTCTGCCATTTACTTAAGACTAAAGTGCACACAAAAAAACATATGTGAGTCCTGAATTATATAAAGGGATGGGGTATATAAACATTTCATTGGCTTTGCAAAGTGGTGTTTGACAATACAGGTATTTTGAAGCACCAGTATGTTTAAGTTGCAACTTACTTCAAGGTTCCCTTAGCAGGCCAAGCTGCCGCAGTAAAAGAAGCTCTTGAGAATATGGTTTTATATTGTTACATTTTTGGTTAGCATGAGTAAGTTGGTTAGTGGTGTGACTACTGTAATGTGTCTCTACTAGTAAGAATGTGAATGCTTATTTCACAGTTTGAGTCCTACATAGAAATGAAAAGATACAGAAAGAAAATCAGTCAAGAGTAAAAAATTTGAAAGCCTTATTACTGACAAAGTTGTTCCATGCATTATTCAGAATTATACAGATTTTGAAATTATGTCTTCTGTTGAATGGCTCTTTTTTATGAACTCAGCATAGTAAATTTTTCTGGAGAAAGGACAAGATTCTTATTTTGGGTGAATGTCATTGAAGAATTTAACACAGCGTTTTACGACATTACTTCAGACTGGCCTAGATCCAAATGGTGATACATGGATTGAAAGCTTTGAGAAAATGCAATGATTTATTAGTGTATTTTAGCATCTAAAGGAGAAAAAGGAAAATCAGCTGCAAAACTAGTAAGGAAAAGGGTAAGATTTTCCTATGGGCTAAGAGTAAAAACACTGGTCACTGATGGGCAACCTATAAGTTTTAATGGTAGCCACCTGTAACTAACAATTTCCTCACATCCAGAATCTGTTTAAAAGGATTGTAACTCTTTCCCTAGGCCTGTGCACTAAGGCTCATTGATGATACTGCACGAGTGCATAACCATGGCTCAGACTTTACAATGGTTTGTGTGGGGGAAAAAAAAAAAAAAAAAAAAGCCATTAGAAAGTCTGTAGATTCTTGTGAGAAAAAAGAGCTAAAATTGCTGACAAATGAGAAAAGGAAAAGCACTGATATGGACAGGTATAAGATGAAAAGAAAACATAGAGTGCCAGAAATGACAGATGAAAAACAGATTGTGCTCCAGGGATCTGCAAGAAACGACTCTCCTCCTCAGAGCTGTCTGCTTGGCTAGCAATGATTCTTCATTGAAAAAGAGGAGATAATTAATTTTCATTGTGAAAGAGAAGATAAGTATATTAGTATTTATGTAATAGCATTTTTTTTCTGTATTATAACCAATAAATAGTTTATTTATGTATTTAAGCTGGGTGTATTCTGCTTGCAGAATCATGTTGTGCATAGTTAAGCTTTCCAAACAGTGGCCCAAAGAGGAATGATGACAGGAGGAAGAAATTCCCATATAAAACAAATGTACAAATTGTCATTAAAAAAAATAATAATAATAAACTCAAAAGAACAGGAATGCTTTGGGGTTAAAGACAATCTGTTTTGGAGTGAGGCTGGTAACTTCATGAGGGATGGAGGAAGAATTAGGATGGTAATTTCTGGCTGCAAGGAAACTGTGAGAGAAGGAGGGAGTTAAAGAAGCTGAAGATAGGTGTGGAGGCCCATCGCAGAACAGTAGTGGAAGACTTTCAGAAGGCAGATTTCAACACGTGATATGGAAACCATCTACGATACTTACAGCCGGTTTTATGAAATTGTAGTTAGCAAAGATCTCGTCAAGACAGTGTTTTATTAGAATTTATACAGAATTATTAAATATTTATTAGAAATGGAAAAAATTAAAATGTTTTTTGTTGTCTTTGTTAAAATTTGTCTTTGTTAAAAGACAAGATGAAAATAGATCCAGCACAACACTGAATAATGATTGAAATCCTTCTAAGATGTGCTGAAAAAGAGGAGTAAACATTATATGGGAAGATCATTTCTCAGATCAGGGAGTGTAGAAAACAACTTTGGTTACAATAGTAACTATCACAGCCTTGTGATATTAATTACTGTCTAACTCTTCTTCTGATTGTAAGCTGAGCGTCTCTGAGTATTAGAAGCTAAGTGTCTTAACAGTATATAAGCAGACAAAACCCATCACTGACAGATGTGCAGATGCTGAATATTAGTTTGTAAAATTCTAGAAAGCTCAAATTTGTCATCTTTTAAATCTAAAGCCTTGACTGGTTAAAAAATCTTTTCTGTAGAAATCTGAGTAAGTGGGGGGAAGCCCCTGCAGTGCCTCCTTTCAGATGCTTATAGAGTTTTTTTTTCTATGTCATATTCTATTAAATATTAGTCTACCTTAAGAAGCTAGAACATTAAATTCAAGGATTCCATTGCAGAGGCCAGATTTTTCAAGATGTACACTTGTAACTTGCTCCCCACAGATACAACAGAACAAAAAATACATGATATGAGACAATTGTCCTATTGAGTTGATTTTAGCCAAGAAAATTATTAGATACTGAAGGTGTGGTTTCAGCCTTCCTGAACAAAAAAGTAATATAGCATATAGCTAGTATGAAATTGTTAGTTAACTATGCCAAATCTTAGCAGAAGTTCAGTTCAAGCCTGAATGATTTTTATTGAGGTTAGTCACATCCTAAATAGCCTAATAACCTCATACAATATAGCTTGCACACTGACCAGCTTGTAGTTGATTTGAGTTGCAAGTAGTGCTATAATCAGCATAATTAATTAAACCAAACACAAATATTGTGAAAAGTAACTGATGTTCTATTAAGGCTTCTTAAATAAAATGATAAGATCTCATTTAAAAGGAATACATAACACTAGTTTTTGCATGTTTGTATTTGCTCAAGCTTATCTTCATTTCTCTCTGTGCAGAGTTCTGCCTGCAGTTTATCACTTCAGTGCCACTTAGATTGACTTCATTGAAGCTAAATAGGCAAGGTACACTTCATTTTTATTCTCCTGTCTATGCTTTATCTGGAAGATTCTTTTAATTAAAACTGAGTAACACCAGCTAACAGAAAGACTGAGTGTAAGATTTCCCCTGGGTTGATTCATGCTATCTAG